TCCGGGTTCCCCCTTTTGCCGGACCCCAGGGCCGTCAAAAACAGTTGCTCAGGGTGAGCAGCCCGTCCCCTGGAAGGGATCCAGACGTTGTGAACAAACCACGGCGCCAGATGTCTGGGGCGGCGGGGTGCTTAGAATCCACAGCACATTGACTGGAACACATACATCGCATTTTGCAGATGGCACCTCGCAGATTGCACATCCATAGTGCACGAATTCACGGCTGCGGGCTCACGCTGGCAACCATATTGCACATCTGCGATACATGCATTCAGTGGCTTTCCTGCAGGTGGGTCATCTCTGTAGCTCGGGACACCCTTCCCCGTATCATCCACGCATGTCATCGGAGTTGGGGCAGCGCTGGGGTTCTCTTCGCGCTACACGGCCACGTTGGGCAGGGAGGCTTCTGCCCAGCGAGCCTTGTTCGGCCCGTGCGCGCGCCTCGTCACCGGTGCCTGGGCAGGTGAAATCCAGTCTCCAGCGCCATCATCGTCGTCATTACACTCGTCATCCGCACCATCCGTAATTATCAATTTGGATCAAGGTTTGATCATTGTGCTCGCATCGTATGGAGCTTGTGATCGTATTCCATACCTGTGGGCAGCACTGATTTGCTCAGCTGTCTCACTTGGTGGAAGCCGCCAAAGAACACCCACTCACGCTTTTGCCTTCGGCGCTCTCGGAGGCCACCGCGGCGACGCGGACACTACTACGCACACGGGCATGATCAAGCACAGCCTCGATCACGTGCGGGGCGTGCTGGATGCGGTGCTGGACGCAGCGTGGGATGCGGCCGACACGCTGGTCGGCACTGACGCGACGCCCAACACCACGGCTGGCATCACGAACGCGTCGTACAATCATTGGCAGCGAGCCCGGGTGGGAGTGAGAAGGAGAGGGCTTTCAGTTTCCATTCAGACGGCTCGGAAGTCCTCTCGCCTTCTGAGAAGTGTTCTGAGCCTTCTCCGAAGACGCGGGGGCTTCTGGATACCCCGCCGCCCTCTGAGAAGACCTTCTCCTTCTCACTTTCCCCCCTCGCCCGCCGCCGGAATCAGACGTCGGCCGAGAGGGTGCACACCCTGCATGCCAGCAGCGGCGCCGGCGCGCCGCTCTGGGCCGTGGTGGCCGCGGCGTGCCTCCTCGCCCTCTGCCTGGTGCCCTGCTGCTTCAGATACCTCGGCCCTCGGCGGAGAAAAGCGGCATGGGCATAAACCTTCTGGTGATCATTCTCTTACTCATTGTTTTTGCCGATCGGCCCGGGCCTTCGCACTACCCCCCCATGAAGTAGATCGTGGCCGTGTTTTTTGCGCCTGTTTCGAGCAGGCGGGGCCTCCCCCGTAGGACGCACGGTTGCAAATAGTCACACTGAGCAGAGGTCCGGAGCCAGCCCCACCCCCTCTCTTTGGGCGTTGCGTAATGGGGGAGTCATACATGGGGGGGTGGCGAGGGTGGTCCGAAAAGGTACCCAAACGGTACCTAAACGAGCCCCCTGGGGCTCCAGGGGGGCCCGAAAGGGGCACGAAAGGGGACCGTTTCTGACCCCCCCATTTATGACCCCCCCATTAAGCCACGCCCAATCTCTCCTCCTTCCGGCCAATGTCGAAACGCCGAATGAAGAGAACGTTCCCCTGAGCTCTGGGCGCAGTGCTCGGACCGGCGCTGGGCCCCCCCTCCCTGGCGTGCGCGGAGCGGCCCCTGGGGGCCCCCGGACGAAAAGTACCCCGGCAAGGTCCCGAGAGAAGCCCGGGAGAAGCCACCAGACCACTCCAGGGGAGGGTATTTTTCGACACCCCTCACGAGGATCGTGGCCTCCGAGGGGGGAGCCGCAATCGACTAAGAGAACGTTCCCCTGAGCTCTGGGCGTATAGTTCTCGGATCGGCGCTGGACCCCCCCCTCCCTAGGCGCGCCGGGGCGTGCCAGAGGCAGAAAGAGCCGACCGTACACCTTAGGCGATGCTTAAGAAAACCTAAGTTTTCGGCCAGAGTCTCGATTATTCTTAACGTTTCCATGTAAATCTTCAGATTTGAATAGAGTCTTTGGGTTTTATTCAAGTTCTGAGACCATGAATTTCTTAACCCATGATTTCTTAAGCATTTCGCAGGGTGTAGTCCTGACGCGCCGATCCAGAAATCCGCCCGGACCGTTCCGAAGTTTATGCATCTGCCCTTCTGCTTGGCTTCGCTCGGACGCGTGCTTTTTTTTGGGGGGGGGGCGAGGACCATCGAGGAGCATCCTGGATCATCCTGCGAAAAACACTCGGCGACGTGACGAGCGAGAGGGGGAAGGGAGAAGGAGGAGGCCTCCTCAGAAGGGGGGCGAGACTTCTCAGAAGCCCTCGCGCCTTCTGAGAATTGTTTGTTTTGCTGTCCTCGGGGAAGGCTCCGAACACTTCACAGAAGGCCGGGGGACTTCCGAGCCTTCTGAATGAAGGCCTCCTCCTTCCCACTTTTTTCCCCACCTCGCTCGCCCTCCGAACCACGCGCACGAAGCCGGGCAATG